TCCTAAAGGAAATCAGTCCTGAATATTCATTGAAAGGACTGATGCTGAAGCTGAAACTCCAATACTTTGGCCACCTGCTGCGAAGAACTGACTCATTTGAAAAGACCCTGATGCTGGGGAAGATTGAGGGCAGAAGGACAAGGGGACGACAGAGGATGAGATGGTTGGATGGCATCACCAACTCAGTGGACATGAGTTTGGGTGAACTTCGGGAGTTGGGGAAGGACAGGGAGGCCTGGCATGCTGCAGTCCATGGGGTCAGAAAGAGTTGGACATGACTGAACAACTGAACTGAACTGAAGAGGCTCTTTAGTTCCTCTTCGCTTTCTGCCATTAATGTGGTATCATCTGCATATCTGAGATTGTTGATATTTCTCTCAGCACTGTTGATTCCAGCTTGTGATTCATCCAGCCCAGCATTTCACACAATGTACTCTGCATGTAAGTTAAATAAGCAGGGTGACAATGTACAGCCTTGACGTACTCCTTTCCCAATTTTGAACCAGTCTGTTGTTCTCTGTCCGGTTCTAACATGGTTAGTGGTAAAAATGGATTGTAAACTCAAACATTTAATTGATATTTAGAAAAAGCAGCATTATCTGAATGAGCTGATCATTCTGTTGGGCTTTGGTGCCTTGCCGCTAATTTTTCTATTTTTGCCTTGCTTTTCCATTCTCTGATTCCCTTGCTTTGGTTCCTAAAACGTCTCCCACTAAGTATTAAAGCTGAAAGATGTGGATAAAGATAGCCTTTAAGTAATCCAGACAGGAGACTACATTTTGGGGAGGCATGTGCTCAGCCCTGTGCTTTAATTATCAGATCATTCCATTAACTGAAGAAATAATAATTTTTTCCTACTTGCTGTAAATTTGTCGAAAAGAGGATTAGAGATTCACCAGAAATATAGGCCATAGTGGAAACCAGATAAAGAGAATAATCAGTCAGAACTCTTACTCCCAGAAGGCTGGTCAAATGCTGCTTTCTTATTGGTGACCATCAGTTATTGGTGACCGTGTTAAATCAGAAGTCATTTGTGGGAAAAAGTCATTTATGTTTCTGTGTCTATCCTGTGTCTTGGTGAATTGGAAAGCTATTTGGAACCTTTCTAGACAGAACAATCATATTTTTTGCAAATGTAGTAACTGTCTCCAACTTCTCAATGAAAGGATGAAGTATGAAAACCAAACAGAAAATAGGAGAGAATTAAAGGGTCATCAAAAAAGAAGGAAAAATTGAAGAAATACATGAGTGTATTTAAGTTCACAAAATGAGAATTTTCCATGCCTCTCACCCAATGCTGCTTCTTCATTTTCTGAACTAATACTAGGGAAAGATTTAATCGGTAAATTTGAATAAGATGAAGTCCATGGAGGAATGCAGAATAAAAATAGAAAATCAAAATTAAGGAATGTGGAGAAGCCAAGTAAGCAGGGAAAAAATGAAGTCAAATAACTGGGACGAATAAGTGGAAAATACTCCGTATGCCAGAAGCCTTAGAAAAACACAGCCCTTTTGAGAGGACATTCAATTAAAACCCAAAGTGTCTTTTTGGTAAGTTAACTGAAAAAAAAAATGGTTGAAACCCTTTGATTTAAAGTGAGTATTTAATATTAACACACAGGACAAAAAACTTTGAAGAGGAAAACCACGGAAAGGTTAAAAAAAAATCAGGCATTCCATATATATTTTTAGGCTCACTAATTAACTAACGATAAAAGACACCCCCCTGTTTAAGCTGATGTATAATTAAGGTATCCAAGTACAAAGAATTCATCTCTGAAGCTAAATTAGAATGTAGGAGGCAAAACCTGAGATTTTTGCAGGTACTCTTTAAAAAAAAAAAAAAAAACAAACTTCTGAAAGTATTCTCTATTCTTGGAGTAAATCATTGAGAAGCTTCCATAGGTGAGGCACTGCAAGCAGTGCCATGGCGGGGGGGATGGGTATACAGACAAATAAGATTTCTTTCAACACTAGTTTATGAAAGGCTGGTCATCCAGGAAGGCTAGAATCAATGCTTCCTGAAGTTTGGTTATTTCAGGCCACGCCCAGTAGTTAGTTGCCCTCTAGTTAGTGCAGAGTTGACCAATGCAAACCTCAAGGCTTTTGTTTAGGAAGAAAAGAAAAGTGAGTGGCAGGGACACAGAACACACTTTAATCCTTTCTAATCCTTTTTTAATTACGTAGAATCATCAAATGAGCACAGGCGACCTCACTGAACCGGAATGCAGTCACGCTCGCTGGGCTTAGCACCAGTCCGTTTGATCTGGTACCCCGTGGCCTCGGGCTGTTGTGCTTTCTACCATCCGGTGTTGTTAGTGATTGTGCTTTAATGAGTGCCCTCTTCTCAATTTTAAAAAACCTGTTCATGTGAAATGTTAAGTGCTTTTTAACCCTTGCTGAAACCTCTGTGAGCTCCGTCCGGTTCTTAGACGTGTCCTGACACTCGGTGGCATTCCTGAAGCCAGTGGGCGCTCAGGATTTAAACCCAAGTCTATCTCTGGCATCTGATCTTGGCATTACTCTTCTGCAGGCTCTGTCACCTTTTATCTCAATTCTGAAATCCACAAAACTTGACAAATGGAAGTTCTTTTTTCATACCCTTGGTGCTCAAACTCGGTCTGTGGTGAAACCTAGCTGGAAGTGACTTTGGGCCGTGGTCTTCCTGCTCAGTGTGGATGTTCACAGGTTGCACTGCACTTGTATTGTGTTTGTAGACTGGACTGTTTCTTGCAGTGGATGTATTTTTTTTTAACTTCCTAAAATATGAAAACCTTTCAACTCAGAAGCCATCTAGCCCTGTGGGTTTCCAGCACAGACATGAACCTGATCACCCCCTGGCACCTGGCACCTGCCTGCCCACCGTCACTTCTCCCGGCCCTCCATTTTGTCCTGCTTCCCTCCGCCCCACCACCACTGTGCTGTTCATCTGCGGCTCCTCATGCTGTGGACGTGGCGACTTAAGCACATGAACTTTTATTACCCCCAAAACTCAGATAGAATACCAAGGTCATGCTGATAACTTCCAGTTACAATTCAACACCAGAGGGTTCTCACTCTTTCCCATTCCCTAACTTCCTGCAAGGACAAGGTCATAATTTCTTTTGTGCTTTCTTTTAAAAAAGAAAATGTCCTTTATAACCAGGATACAAACTATTTCTCCTGGTACATGCAAATGTACATGCCCTTTTTAATTTAGATAATAGATCTTTTATTTTATAATGAGGTTCACCATAAGTTGTTTTGAAATATCAGCATTTTTAATGCACTTACAATGGTTCATCCGTAAAAATTATATTTAGGCAGAACATTTCAGGAATGATTTTATATATATATATATTTATATATAAAGTGAAGTCTCTCAGGCATGTCCGACTCTTTGCGACCCCATGGACTGTAGCCTACCAGGCTCCTCTGACCATGGAATTTTCCAGGTAACAGTACTGGAATGGATTGTCATATATATGTATATATTATAATCTGAAGCAAAGCAGCCTGAATCATTGTGTTAATCACCTAAGGCCAGATGAATGTGTATCAAGTAAGTATTGGAAGGTCATTGCTGAGATGCTACACTTCCTTCCTTTTTGGAGTATTTCCCTTAGGAGAAAAGGGAAAGGCAGAATTATTGATTAATTAAAGGTTTATTGGAGGCCTTCAGTATACTACTCTATTCGAATGAGGAAAGTGAGGGATGAGTTAAGACTTTAATCTTTTATTCTGACTTTTCTGGAAATGGAGAAGGGGGCAGGGGGCATTGGGCAGAAGAGGTTCTGCAGCTGAGCCTCCAAAGTGGGTTATTTTATTTCCAGTCTCACTTGGTGAGGACTGGAAAGGAAGAAACCAGAACTGGGCTGGAAGTGTTAGAATGGGTTTACTTCTGAACCTCTAATTTGCTGCCTCATCACATGCTGAAGGAAGTGGAGAGTTTGGAGGTGAAGTTCATCCACTGAACCCTGCTTCCCTCTCTCCGGGCCTGGCCCTGAGGTGGCCCATTTCCCAGCAGCTCGCAGGGGACATGGGGAGTCAGGCAGGCCTATCCGATCGTGAGGGAGTTGGGCTGGACCTGTAAGTATCAGAGAGGACGGAAAAAGAACTAACATTGATTGAACATTTGACTCTGTATCAGGCTCCATACATGTTGTCATATGTCTTTACAAAAATGGATGCTTCATCCCTATTTTACAGATTAAGGCAGCTGAGGCTCAGAAGTTAAGAAGCTTAAGAAGGGTTTCACACCCCTCACAGGGGCGGAGTTGAGGCTAAAGCACATTTCTGTCCCCAGAGCTCCTGTCCTTGCTGTCACATCCTCGCTGGATTTACAGCAGGGTGGGGCTTGGGGACAAGACCAGTCATGGAACCACTGGGGTCACATGGCAGTCACATGGGCTCGGGGTCTTCACGTGGCCTGGTACCTTTTCTCTCACTGTCCTCCACTCCACTGCTGAGGGCACCTGTGAGCTGGCTTCTTGGGCACCTCCCGAGTCCTGTGTCTCGGTCAGACCCAGGGTCTGTGGCTGCTTCCTGGTCCTGAGAGAAACATGTTTGAAGAAAGTCTTAGGAAGCAGTCGACCCGCAGTAGGTGAATGTTTGTGGAATGAATGGGTTTGTTGCCTTCTGGAAACCCCTGTGAACAGGAGTGGATTTACACATTCTCCTAGTTTTCTACTTGGCAGTTTTCCCACAGAGTTTATTTGAAAACAAATTCCGATTATATATATCCCAGGTCACTTTTATACCACCACTGGGAACACTAGGGCTGTATTTGTGTGGAGGGAAAACACACAGCTTTCGAGGTTGCCTCTTGGAATAAATGCTTCTTTTCTATTCTAATTAAATTATTTTCTTAAGCTTGCTATTTTAGAGGATAAAGATTTAACTGGAGACTGCAGGGTTACTTAGTGTTTTCTTCCCAGCCAGTCACTGGGCTACCATGAGAACCCTTTATTATTCCATCTGTTAGGGTATAAAATCACAGAACATTTTTCATCTGTTAATAGGGAGAGATAATGCGTGTGAGAAAACTTCATATATGTTCCTACGAAAGGAGCTTCCTGTGCGCCTGGCTAACACAATGAGAGAAGTTAATCTTCTGCCGGAGAACTTGCTTAACCGCCGTTCGGTGGGATTGGTTCAGAGCTGGTAAGTACATAGTGTGGGACAGATGGGTCTACCCAGAATGCTCAGAACATTTGGCATTGGGACCATTCTCCCTAAAAGTACACGTAATGCTTCCTGTGGGTATGACTCATTCAGGATAGCTGGGTTTCTTAGGTAATTAAAGGGCTTTTTTTTTTTAACTGATATAACAATGTATAGTTGTCCTAAGGAAAATGCTTTTCAACTGTACGAGACACTTCTTTGACTTTTCAACTTTTTTCTGGTTATAAATCTGAATTTTCAGGTAATTGAGTGTTTTAAGATTTTTTTTTTTTTGGATGCGGACCATTTTTAAAGTCGGTTGAATTTGTTACAGCATTGCTTCTGTTGCCTGTTTTGAGTTTTTGGCCCTGAGTCACGTGGAATCTTAGCTCCACGACCAGGGACTGAATCCACACCCCCTACATTGAAAGGCAAAATCTTAACCGCTGGACCATCAGTGAAGTCCCAAGTTTTTTTTGGTGGGGGAGGAGTGGTGGTGCAGAAATCTCAAGACAGTGTATAATTGTCCTAAGGGAAATAACTTCTCAACTGTACCAGACACTTTCTTGACTTAAATTTTTTTTTGGTTATAAATGTGATTTTTCATTGGGAAAAAAAAACAGGGAAGTGAAGAAAATTATGGAAAGAATACCAATGCAGTGGCCCCTGTGAGCAGGTCTCCCAGTTCTTTGACTAAGGAAATATTGCTAATTTGATCCAGTCTCTGTCATGGTTTTTTCTGTTTTTCCTTTTAAAAAAGTTTTTGGAAGATCTTACTTATTTTAGGACAAACTAAGTCATTTGAAGGGGAATGTCCTGAGTGAAAAAGATCAGCCACCTGCTGTGCTTCATCTGCCCCATGAAAAGTCTGAAAAATCTTAACAGGATAACTTAATGTGATGCTTAAAGCACATGCTGTCTAATTGAGGAAGTTGAGTTTGTGACTGAACTGCCCACTTGGGAGGCAGAGTGTGAGGCGGTGGCTGATTGGTAGGAGGGAAGACCAGGTGGTGTATTTTTAGAAAGGGATTTACATGGAAATGCTTGTGTGTCTCCTCTGTATTTTCCAAGCAGAGAGCAAGTCCCCATGGAGAAAGCTGGAGGAGTGCGTGAGGCCAGATACAAGGGGAGTGGAACCATTCATTAGTTGGTGTCTAGAGGGTTAATGGAGACTGGGCTACTGAAGGAGGACGGCCATTCACCAGTCATTCCTCAGTAATGCTGGTTATAGTACATTCTTAGGGTTGAGAATGAGTCATCTGAGAAGCAGTCTGTGGGTGGTCTTAGAGGTACAGTATTCAGTCCCTCTTCCAGACAAGCAGCCATGGCTGGCACAGTGGCCCCAGGATAGCTCAGAGGCGGCGACCTTGGCTTCCATCTCAGAGTCAGTTGGATTTTGCCCTGAACTCATAGCTTGTTTCAGAAGCAGCAAGTATTATGCTTGCTTGCATGAGACTTTCTTATTGCTTACCATGATAAGAGATTTTCTATCACGAAGTATATAAGCACTATTCAGTTCAGTTTAGTCGCTCAGTCGTGTCTGACTCTTTGCGACCCCATGAATCACAGCATGTCAGGCCTCCCTGTCCATCACCAACTCCTGGAGTTTACTCAAACTCATGTCCATTGAATTCGTGATGCCATCCAGCTTTCTCATCCTCTGTCATCCCCTTCTCCTCCTGCCCCCAATCCCTCCCAGCATCAGGGTCTTTTCCAATGAGTCAACTCTTCACGTGAGGTGGCCAAAGTATTGGAATTTCAGCTTTAGCATCAGTCCTTCCAGTGAACACCCAGGACTGATCTCCTTTAGGATGGACTGGTTGGATCTCCTTGCAGTCCAAGGGACTCTCAAGAGTCTTCTCCAACACCACAGTTCAAAAGCATCAATT